TATATATATATATATATATATATATATATAAATAAAATAATAACAATGGGTCCAGGGCTCCCACAGATCAATTTTGCTGTTTCAGTGTATATCAATATCAATAGAAGTTTTTTTTTTTAGCATTGTGACATCAGTACAGCACCAGGACTAGTTCCATGGGGGCCCTGGCCCTGGTTTGCCCTCTGATTTAGCATTCTTATAAAAAAAATCAATACGTTTTCGAATGAAAAAGAAAAGGTAATTCTTAAAACCCAAGTGTTACAAAACTCTTGAAGCGAATTTAATTGCAGTATTTTTAAATGTTGAGAGCCCTTTCATGGTCCGGGGGACAGCACCTTACATTTCCTACACCTTGGGCTTGCTATAAATAATAAGGCATCCATAACATTGTATCACAATAAATGAATATATAGAAACATTTATGTTTGCAACTTTAAAATCAGCAATGCCTCATGAAAGCAATCATTGAATGAAAAGCGAAAGTTGCACTAATTCAACATTGTCTTCTTTTGTAATAACACTGTATTATAAACATATTTACAATCCAAAGTTACCCACCTGATCTAAACAAATTACTTTACCATGAAACTAAACTTGAAACTCAAATGTCTTGTTTGTCTTTGTAAATTCGGCCAATAAAGTTGATATATTTGCATTTATTTATCCAGTGTCATTGAAGGACAATGCACAATCCTTGCTCTTGTTTCAGCCCCTGTTCCCTTTCTAGCACTGATCAACTTTTTGCATATAGTAACTTTTATTATCCAGCATGATTATTTTTAAACTAGTTGGAAAATAATTACCAGAAAATATATTTTTTTATGAATACAAATATAGAGCTCCCTAAAATGTGTCCAAACCTTTATCAGAATAGCAGCATACCATTCTCCATAGAAACAATGTTGGAAAGAATAGGGAGTTTTTATGGCATAATTTGTTTTTTGCAAACTATTCATATCAGATTATTTTAGATGTTCAATATCTATCAATTAGGCTTGGTGTAACTGTATCTTTTGTCTGGGACTTGGCAGGTTCTGAGTTCACTTCCTTTCAACTTTTTTAATTTTTAACCATAACTACAACTTTTACACCAAAAACAATTAATAATAAAGAAAAATGAATACATCCACAGAAAATCTAGAGTGGATAAAAAAAAAAGTCTTGATTTTACAGACAATTTTTTTTATTGCATGAAAATAATTATTTTGATGGGTCCAAAATATGTAAATATTTACTTCTGGTTATGAAGCCAAACTCCAATGTAGAAGTGGATTATTCTCTGCTTTGGCTATATTCCTCTTATTCCAGCAAAATAAACAAATAAGTAAATACAGGTGGACATCTGTCCAGCCTTTGAGCTTTGGTTCAGACTTAAAGTGGTCTAGCAGCTCCACAGAGCCTATTTCCATATGCACAGGTAGTTGTTATTGCTAACCATTAACAGGCCTGCTAACCAGCTGGTAAACTGTTACAAAACAGTGCAAGGGTCAGTGTGCCACTATTAGAGGGGAGGAGTTAAACCTGTAGCTTTCATCTTTAAGCCTGATTTTTGCGCGGTACCAAACCGGCGGTGGCTGCCCAAATGCTCTCATATTTCATTTCTAATGTTGAGGCTGTAATATCGTAGAAATTGTTTTTCATAAATACTATCAAATTAAAAGCACTTCAAACACATAGGATGTCATTTGAGCAGTGGTGTCAAAAGTACACACATTTGTTACTTAAGTAGAAGTATAGATACTGCAGTTTAAAACACTCTGGTAAAAGTTGAAGTATGAACTTGACCTCTTTACTCAAGTAAAAGTGAAAAAGTATGTGCTCCAAAAACTACTTAAAGTATAAAAGTAAAAGATGTTGAAATGTCTGAAAGGTTGTGTCCAACCTTTCAGACATTTCAACATCTTTTTCTGAATCCTACATTGTAGCATGGCATAGATAATTCACGTTTGCAGTTTGAAGAACACCTGCTTGCTTCTGATGATTTCCTTTAGCTAACCAATGAGTGTTTGCATTATATGACTCATCCAATCACACTAGTTTTCACTAGATGTGGATGGAGCCAATGATCTGCATTGGATGGAGCACATGATGTGAAATAAATATTTATGAACATAAAACAGAAGCCAAGAGTAACTAGTAACGTTTGTTTTTTAAAATGTAAGGAATAGAAAGTACAGATACTTGTGTGAAAATGTAATGAGTAGAAGTCAGAAGTAGGAAGAAATAAATAATGGATTAAAGTATAAATACCTAAAAAGTGTACTTAAGTAACAAAGTATTTGTAGTTTGTTACTTGACACCTCTGCATTTGAAGGTCTATCAAACATGGCGGACCCTTCCGAAGAAAAGAAAATGAGGTCACAGATATGTCTTTGATATGCCTCCCATGGCTGGTATTCTTGGAAACCAAAGAGTTGTTCACTTCCAATACGCCTTTACTCATTTTCTTATTTTGACATTGTTATTATTTGGCAATTTTGTGCATAACATCCGCTGTTCATGGAAATTACCGTAGGAGTCCTGATGGACCAGAACCCCCCTTATTTTTTTTTTTTTTTAGGTTAAAAGCACTTTGGTTAAATTGTGCCAGAATGACAACTCTGCCTGGCAAAATGGCTCCAAGATAGATAAATATGACCCGAGGTGGCTTGCTCAGTGGCGCAGGGGGTAGCACATGCTGCCTTGCAGCAAGAAGGGTTTGATACCTGGCCTGTGGTCTTTCTGCATGGAGTTTGCATGTCTGCGTTCTCTCTTGGTACTCTGCATCCTCCCACAGTCCAAAAACATGACTGTTAGGTTAATTGGCTTCTCTAAATTCTACTTAGCTGTGAGTGTATGCATGAATGGTTGGTTGTACTTGTGTTGCCCTGCGATGGACTGGCAACATGTCCAGGGTGTACCCCGCCTCTCGCCCATAGACAGCTGGAGATAGGCACCCTTGTGACCCTACCCTCGTGAAACCATCCTGATCTCGCGAGCTTTCAAGATTTCACTCGCTAATCAGTCTGGAGACTCTC